ATACGGACAAAGGTTGACTGTCTGCCACCATTTCTACTTTCAGGTGAAAGCCAAAGGTTTTTCAGAGAGAGGTTGCAGCATTAGAGGGATGGTAAATAATCTCATTTCTTTTGTGATGGTGTTGTGGATGATGTTGAGGGACTGATGATGATGACTTTGCCTGTTTGTGTTTGGTAGACAAATATGTCATAATCCACTGGACAACCGGATTTCAAACTTGAGATATATATTGGGCTCCGGTTTGTTAGGAGCTTAAAGTCTTCCCTAACATTCCCCGACTAATCTTAGTTTCAAACTTGGTCACCAACTCACCATTGGTCAAAGGACTCAGCCCTGTGTGTTTTTTTAAAGTGTAGGTTCACTGACAATGGTGCAAGAGGAGTTGGACCCACCTCGCAATTGAAAGGTTGCAGGTTCGAGCCCCGCTCAGTCTGTCACCACTGTTGTGTCCTTGGGCAAAACATTTCACCCCCCTTTGCCTGCTGGTGGTGACAACAGTGTACAACAAACTCGCCTCTGTCAGTGAGCCCCAGGGTTGCTGATCACTACCAGTGTGTGAGGGTGTGTGTGTGGATGATTTACTGATTGTGTTATAAAGAGGCTTGGGGGGGCGCTAGGACTCTAGAAAGTGTTATGTCAAATACAGACCAAGTTATTGGTTGTAGCATAAACATGCTAAATGTGAAAATTCTTCAGCTCCTATCACCTAAATTAGCCACCTCAATAAAATAGACCAGAAAATGCTCTAGTAAGAAAATGGTTCACACATTTACGTCACACTGAAAACGTGCGTTCATGGACTCACCCTGCCTCTCCTCACGACAGAGAAAGGCTAGGTAGATTTAGTGGCCAAGAGAGAGCCGGGCATGTCTAGGCTAGTAGAAGCCAACCATTAGCAATAGCATCCCCACAACACAGCAGAACATGTTTGGGGTTGTGTTGTTCGTGGAGATGACACACTAACGTCATATTTTTTTACCCAAAAAAGAAGAGCAAATGGAAGCAGTGGAAGAGTTGCATTGCTGTTAGCCAATCACAGGTGAGATGTTTGTATTTTATGAATGTTAATGAGTAAGAGTCAAAATTTGTCTTTTTTCTGCCCAAAACCACTACTTGGGCTAAATTTACTTCCTGAAACGTGTGTTATCAAAGAAAACGACTAACAAGGCATTCATTTTTACTAGCAGCAGATTTATTGAAGTAACGAGGGTATGCCTATTTAAAATTTTCATAAATCGCTGCACAAGTTTTAATTAAACTTTTAGAAGCTCGTGGTGACATGTTCATCTTATAGGTTACCTTCTGGAGTCAACCCAGTTTAAGATGGCTGCTATAGCCCAGTGACCTTAAAGGAGAAAAATGGCAGCAACTCAGTTAATTTTTACAGAAACTGCACTGACACTTGTGGTCAATAATTAGTCGTTCATAACACAAACTATGTGCAATTTAGACTTTTATGAAAGAGTTAAAAAAATACTGTCATTGTGATTTTTTGGTGTTTTGTCTTCTGCTGCAGCTTTTTCACCAGATTGTTGATGCAAATATCAAAGCTGCTAAAACGAATCTGCAAACACGCTAGGTTTTGAATGCAGTCACAATCACAGAACACTCACCCCTCCCCTCACGTGTCTTCCTTGTATCCGCATTCACTGGAACCGGACCCCCACATTGCCAGATGAGAGAGCGCTAAACACCAGTCGCCATTTCTTCAAGTGGTGTTTTTCTTTTTGGGACTCTGGTGGTTTGTCCTGAAGTAGAAGTTTCTCCTTCTCTGAACCTCTCACACCAGTGGTGTTTTGTTGTTAAATACGTGAGTGCGTAATGAGTGGAGGACCCAGGGAAGCATGGAAGTGTGGCAGTTCAGCGAGACCTACAACCGGATGGTCCGATAGTTGTTTAGGTCCAAAATGTGTTATTGGTGGAGGTTTTAGAATTTATAAAGTTTTTTCATTTGTCTTTTTATCTCCACAGTATATTTATAACTTTACTATGTTTGAATGTTGTTAAGAGGCACGAACACAAATGTTTTAACCTAATTGTTATCCAAATTTTCTATTGCAGCTTTAACTAGTTCTCGACTAACAAACCTGTTTAAAGACAGGTTTAATAAAAAATGAAATAAAATGACCTCAGATTTTTCAAGACTTCACCAAATTTGCTTCAATTTCTGAACATTCGATGATCCAAGTTTAAAACATGACAGAAGGCAGTCAATATGTATTCGTTCAAGAAATAGGCTTATAATTTGTAAGCCTATTTAGTTGTCTTTGATTCATAATTAGCCTTTTGCTTTTAGAAAGAGCGCTAGGATATGTGTTTGTGTGTGTGTGTGTGTGTGTGTGTGTGTGTGTGTGTGTGTGTGGCTGAGGCAGGGCTGAGGGCAGTAAGCTCTCTGTCACCCCAAGCCGAGGTTTCTGGTGTTGCATACTCAGCGATTGCTTCAGAGTTAACTAGAGAGGCTTCGCTGTCTCTCACTTTCCCTTCGCCCTTGAAGAGTCGAGAAGTTGTCAGGTTCTCATAAAAACCCTGAACGATTGTGTCTGTGCGATCTCCTCATCTTTTTCTACCCCCCCTTTTTTTCATCTTCTCCTTCCAAAACCTGGCCATCTGTCTAATTGTTCACCTCCATAGCTTTAATGCTTTTTACATGCTGCCCCCCTCTTCTTTCCAGGCAATAAACTTTATTTTCTTCGCAAGACTTCAATCTGTAGGGGGAGGGTAGGCGGGCGGGCGGGCAGGCGGGGAGGCTGCTCACCTTCTTCTTCCTGCTGGATTTGCTCCAGCTGCCCCCCTCTAAAACCCTCCCTCTGGTCTCCCGTTTCTCCATCTCTCCTTCTCGTCTTCCTCTGCAGCTTTAGAGAAGTGGATATGTGTTCGTCAAGCTGACACCTGCTCTCATCTTCTCTGCTGGTCATGCACACACGGAGCGCTATCCTACAGAGGAGGCCTTACAGTGACCTGTTAATCACCTCGCTGCTGCCCGCCGTGACCTTGTTTGTAAAGCCTGACTTTTTATTTTTCCACTCCAGTAAAATAAGCAGCTGAAACCATTCAACTTTTCATACTGATCACATTGTGACGTTTTCTAATAATTTCTTTAAATCTTTATTTAAAAAAAAAGACTTAATAACCGTTTTTTGTTCCTACGTGAACATGTGGACCGTGTAAAAATGACAAGAAGTATAAATACATATTGCACATATAAGTCATTAAATGAGACAGTTGTCTCCTCTCACCTGTGATTAGTGCTGTGTGCAGATCATATAAGCAGGTACCCTATAATCATATCTATAACAGTCATAATCAGGCCTTTAATGTTCTGTAATAGCATCCGTATAATGGTATAGAGTGGCATCAAGAGAATAATTCAGGCATAGATAATGGTGCGATGGCATGGCTTTACCCTTGAGTCACAACATTGAATTTGTTGTGCACGTGTGTGCCCGTGCGTGCGCCTGTGTATGCATGTAGAAACACACCCTGGGGCAGTTAAGGTAAAATGCCTGAAGAATCACATTTCCACTGAGAGGTGCTCTTAACCCTTTGTTGTTTTTGTTGTGCTCACTGCTCCGTGGAACATCCTTGCTGTGAGTGTCATGTATACTTAGCTTTGCAGAGCCACACATGCTGAGGAGAGACATTCCCACACGACGCCCACGCATAAAGAGATCATGTCTGTGGAAAAGGCTGACAGTGGCGCGGCGGCGGTGGCGGCGCGTGGAGAGCTCTTCCGGGTGTTATGTGAGCTGACAGCGTTCCTCGGGGATAGCGAGCAGGGCGAAGGAGAAAGTGGAACCCAGAGAGGGATTCACGAGGGATGCTTTCTAGGTTCGGCGTGTTCTGTCTCACTTCATGCTCTCGCTCTAACATATGCTAAAGTCCCATGCGAGCTCCCGTGTAATAGGCAGATTGAAGCGATCTTGTTTGTTAAGGGCTCGGGCTGATGAAGATGAAGCGAGGTGAGGAAGAGGAAAGAAAATCTCTCAGAGTGAACACACTTGACAAACATGTTTATCTATTTTTATTAAAGAGATACCACCACCACCACCCCCAGGCCCGTGTGCGTCTCATCTGAGGCCTTTGGCCTGCAGCAGAATGCTACAGTGGGATGGAGAGGATGATGAATATTTAGCTTGTCTTCTCCAGTCTGTAAACGCAGCTATGCATTCATTTCTCAAGTCATTTATCTTTTTCTTCTTCTCCCCTATCCTCACCCTGTCTCCCAACATATGGTGTAAGATGAGCTACACTCAGATGCACACTGGGAACACGTGTGCACAACCTATAGAATTCCTTAAGAGTCTTTGTGGTCTCTTTAGAAACAATGCAATTTTCACCGTGGTTGCTGCTGATTTCAGTTGTGTGTTGTGGGGAAAATAGGATACAGGATTGTGTCAGATGCCTTCTCCATGGTGGATATTGTTTTACAGTTGATATGGTTGAAAATCATCTAATATATTCATTTAAATGCATGCTTTTGTGTTTATATTGATTTGCAATCACATATTTTCAACTAATTTCAATGTAGATGCAGAAAAGTAAAAGTCAGACACATTTTTTGTCGTGTTAAGGACATTATTATAAACGTCTTATTATTTTTACTGTTTTGTTCCTTCATCTTCTTTTTTAAATATGATTGTTTATTATAGGTTTTATGATGTGAAGCACTCTTTAACTTTTGTTCAAAGATGCCTTTGAAATAACGACTTACAAAATTACATAAATGAGTCACAATCAGGCAAAATCTGAAGCTTTTGTTGCATTTTTGATGCTGATGTTCTGTAAATATTTTTCTTCCGTATCTGGATTGTTCGTCTGAATAAAATGGTGAAATAGGCCTCTTTGTCACTTAACCCGCAGTCTTTCTATTTAAAAGATGAAAACTATATTAATCTGTTTGTAGCATTTTATTTACTGTTGCACTGCAGCTTTCTGAAGGATGATGCAATCATATTTGTACTATTTTTCCATTTATTTTGTTTTTTCTAATGTCTCAACAGCACAAAGCCAGAGTCGAGGCCATGATGTGCAACCTGGCTTCCCTCCGGAGCGTCAGGGAGTTTGCCGAGTCTTTCAAGGCCAAAGAACTGTGAGTATAAGTGGCGGAACATTTTTACTTGAAAGCTTTTATTTTGTACAAAACTTTTGTAAAATAAGAAGACAGATTTTTAAAACTGTGGGTTTCTTTAATAGCTTATGACTATTGTTTGGTATTTTGAAAAGTCCCAAGTACATTTTTGTAAGTAAGTGGTCAGAATTTTTAAAAATAGATCTGAAAAGGGTTTTTGTGGCCGCAAAGCCCAAAGAACATGAGTCATTTTTTCTATGTTTCAGGTCAACAAATAAACAGTTGTTGTTATAAGTCCTTTTATATTTTTTCTGTTTTTGACCTCAAAGAAAAAAGACGTAGCATGAAAATAAACATTAAAATTCAATCAGGACACTAACTGTGACACATAATTTGGAACAGTCTCTGCATCAGTCTCATCACACTTGAAATCCTATAGATACCATATGTACTCAGGACTGTGTGTGTGTGTGTGTGTTCGTTTGCGTGACTTTGGTCAAACACTTTCTTTCACTTATTTTGTTGTGGTCAGCTTTAATGGTGTGTGTCTTGCATCCGATCCGGTCGTTTCGTTGCTATTTTGAGGTCATGAATATTGTCATCCACCCGTAGGACTCTATGGAGAGGAGTGTGTTTGTGTGTGTGTGTGTGTGTGTGGGTGTGCGTGTCTGTGTGTTGGTATCAAGGGAGCCCTTTGGGGAGCGCCAGGGCAGTCATCGCCCATAGCAGCCCTGGGGCAGGGTATGGCCATCCAGGGCACACGCCTTTGGTCACGGCCAATCCTCACGGTGGCTTCACTCTCTCCGTTTCCCAAAGTTTCATTCCAGCTCATCCACGTGTTCCTTTCACTCCTCTGTTCATGACATTGCTCTCTCTCTCTCTCTCTCTCTCTCTCTCTCTCTCTCTCTCTCTCTCTCTCTCTCTCTCCCATTGCTTTTTAAACTAATTGTTTATCTGCAGTTTCTCTGTCTGTCCTTCTTTCATGTTGTCTCCATCTGCGTCGCTCTCTCTTTACCTCAGTATTTTGGCAAGGTTGTATTTCTTCATTAGCCGTGCGGTTTGGGGGTGGACGGGACTCCCAGGGGACGTCAGAGTACATTAATTCTCATCAGAAGGCGAACAGAGCGGAGTGGAGGCTGGGAGCTCTGAGCTGTGAATGGCACTGGGCAGCTGTCTGAGTCTACCACCACTCTATTACTGCACGTATGTCTTCAGGCATAACACACGCACGCAAATGCACGCACGCACAGGTATGTGCACACCTCCTCAGACAGCTATGTGCACAGATGCAGACACACATGGGTTTGTAAACACGTGTGCACAGTAATGCTCCTGCAGCGTGTCATTGACAGGTGAAATGTAATCAGAGTCTTTTTCTTTTCGTTCTCTCGTTTCTCACTCTCCTGCTTTTAAGTGCTTTAGTCAGTGGCTTTCACGCTGCTCTGTGTTCCATTGACCCCGATTCTGCTTTAATTGCCTGTCCTTTGAAATGAAATTACCTGGATATTGATATTGTTGAATGCAGCAAGATTTCATTGGGACATAATTGATGGAGGACGCCGCTGACAGAAAGCCCTAATACAATTTCTACTGAACGCGCCGTAATTAACACGTGCAATTTGTCCCCACAGCTGATCTTTTCTCTTTTTTTCATACTCCTCCATTCATCCTTCTCTCATTTAAACCCTGGTTCCTCTTTCTTATCACACCATTTGCCGTTTACGTCATGAATACTTTCCGATTCATATATCTAAATTTTAAAGCCACCTTTAGGCTTAAATATGGGTCAGAAGGAGCGGTGTGTTTCCAGTTTCCTCTTTCCAATAAAGTGCTGCCTTAATGACCACCAGCTCACACAGGCAATCTCTTCCTGCTGGCCTACATTATCATAGAGGTCAGAGGTCACACCCATGGGGGTTATTTAAAGTAAATATATAAACGGACGTCTCCCTGTTTGGTAGTTAACACCCTCGTTTGACCAGCGCTGAGATTGCATAGTGCACACAGTGTTGTGTGAGGTCTTAATGTGGAGAGAGGGACTGTGGTCTGCAGCAATAGGCCTATTAAAGACATTCATTAGACCTGCGCTTATGAGAGAGGGACTAACTGGTGGGCAGTTGAATTAACAGGCCTTTTACATTACAAGCAGACTCACCAGAGGCCCATCCAAGAGCTGTGGGGGAAATTCTCTCTGCTGGTCTGAGAAAAGTTGGTTATGTGAGTTTTTCTTCCATCATAAATGTGCAATTTACTTGGAGTGACAAGCTTTGCCCCTTTGTCTTTGCAGGAAAAGGTCACAGCGTTTAATTCTCATAGCGTAAATATTAGTTTAGAGCAAACACTTCAGTGAAAGGTTAAAAACTTGGGTCAAGAGTTTGTGCCTTGATGTTATTGTGAAGCCCCTAGTGAGCCCGATGAGGACCGAGCCAAGGGTTTTTCCTTGTGTTGCACAATGATGCTGTACTTCACACTCTGTTGGACAGCAGCACTCGGGGCCAATGACAACACCTGTGATTTGCTGTCTTTTAATCACAGAGGAATTTAGCAGCAAGATGGCAACTTTTATCTTTTCTGTCAAATGATGAAATTGCACGTGTGTTTTCTCCTCCAAACCATTAAATTTAACTTCAGCTTCTTGTGTTTTGGTAAAAAAAACTAAGTACTTTACTGCTGGCGTGCATGTATGTGTGTGTGTTGATTAAATGCTGAGGTCGGCATTCTTTAAGTTGACTCACCGCCTAGGTTTGTGCTCTTTAATGAACCTAGTGTGTTCAGAGGCCTGAAGGTGATCGTACAGTGCACTACTATGTAATAGCATGGGATGGCTCATTATAGAAAGGCATAACAATTCACACATTAATTTTCCAGCATCCAGTTTTTAATTAATCCAGTAGGCAGTCTTAAACACAGGGTACACAAATTGCCTTTGGCCTCATAATTAATTCTAATGGAAGAAATTAAAAATTGGTGGGGTGTGTTTGGATTGCTCGCCTGTGTTACTGTGCTTTTGAGCTCATTGGAGCATCACTGTCACCGACAAGGATCTCTCGCTCCTTTGACCAATCCAGGAGCCTCCTTTCCTGTGCCATGTGTGGAGGTAGATCTGCTCGTCCGTTCAGTGGAAATCCAGCACATGCCTGGGCCTGTTAAACCCCACAGGCCTCTGCCAGGTGTTTAAAACATCAGGACTTGTGAGCGTTATTTCTGTCATCTTCCAGGCTGCTCTAGTGGTAGATTCGGTTACTCGGAGTACTTGCACCGCATCATCACCCATTAGGTCCACCAGCAGAGTGTTTAAATGGTTTCTTGTCATGTTGCTGCTCTTGGATTCTTGCCAGCTGCATTTAGTATCTGAGATACTTGTGTACCAAAGGGACTTTCAGGAGAAATCTCTGTATCGTATTTGTGTTACTCTCTACAGGACTCTAAAATCTCTGTTTTCACTTCTTTGTTATTTCCACATTTTTTTGTGGTATGAAAATCAATGTTGTTTTGTTTTGTTTTGTTTTTCCACCGTAGACCCTTACACATTCTGGTGTGTAATGCGGCAGTGTGCACCCCGCCCTGGAACCTAACCGAAGACGGCTTTGAGTCCACCTTCCAGATCTGCCACCTGGGTCACTTCCTCCTCGTTCAGTGCCTGCAGGACGTCCTGCGTCGTTCTGCTCCTGCCCGAGTCGTGGTTGTATCCTCAGAGTCCCACAGGTAAACACAAATAACTACAGAGATGGTGCTTAGTTTGGCATCAGTGGTTTCAAGAACAGGCTCATAAAACTAGACTTTACCACAGGGAAGATTTATTGCTATTAAACGTTCTTTTAAATTGATGGCTTATCGACCTTTTTAATTTTTAATGAGAACAGATGCATTTCTTTTTTATGAATGCGTCTTAATTTGGGAAGGCTAAAAGTGCTCTGTGGAGTTTTCTTATAAACAAACAAAGTCTCTTGTGGTTTAAAGTGTTTTGTTGAGTCATTTTGGTTCCTTGTAAAACAAAAAAAAAAGGCACATCTCAACTTTCTCATGAGTTTTTGACAACATTTTGGGAACTGTCTTTTGTAAACAGATGACTTGGAAGTTGAGATTTTATCATCCATCTATTTTCATCCGTTTATCTGGGGTTTGGTTGTGGGGGCAGCAGCCCAAATAGAGGCCCAGACATGCCTCTCCCCATCCACTTGGGCCAGCTCCTCCAGATGAATCCTAAGGCGTTCCCTGGCCAGCTGAGAGACATACTGTAGTCCCTCCAGCATGTCCTGGGTCTCCCTTTAGCTCTCCTCCCGGTTGGACGTGCCTGGAAAACCTCGCCAGGGAGGCGCCCAGGAGGCATCCTAATCAGATGCCTGAACCACCTCGACTGGCTCCTCTCGATGTGGAGGAGCAGCAGGTCTACTCCGAGCCCCTCCCAGATGACAGAGCTTCTCACCCTATCTCTAAGGGAGAGTCCAGACACCCTGCAAAGAAAACTAATTTCAGCTGCTTGTTTTCCTGATCACATTTTTTGGTCACTACTCAAAGCTCGTGACCATAGGTGAGGGATGGGACGTAGATCAACTGGTAACTCGAGAGCTTCATCTTCTGGCTCAGCTCTCTCTTCACCACGACCGGCACAACGCCCGCATCACTGCAGATGCAGCACCAATCCGCCTATCGATCCACGCTCCATCTTTCCCTCACTCAGAGCAAGACCCAGAAACACTTAAACTCCTCCACTTGAGGCAGGACCTGGTCCCTGACCTGGAGGAGGCGTTCTACCTTTTTCCGATTCGGAATCAGAAGAATTTATTAAATCATACAAAGTTCACACACACATATAAAGAGCTAGTAACAACATGAATGCATTCCTGAACTCCTGAAACAAGGCACCATCTTAGGCGGAAAAGTTCTATTGTCCCATTAAGCCCCTCCCCCTGTATCTTTGATAAGCCTCACATTCATGTTTCATAATTACTATATATATTAATTACATTATAATTACTATATATAGTAATTATAATGTAATTACTACTCTCATGCTGCTTTATATATATATATATATATATATATATATATATATATATATATATATATATATATATATATATATAGAGAGAGAGAGAGAGAGAGAACAGATAGATAAATATAAAACGAAATGCCACCAACTCTTTATCTGTTCAACATTACAGTCGGAGGTGGAGATTCTTCGTTTAGACTGTGTCTGTCTTCACGTAGAAGCAGGCAGCCGTGGAATCTGTATTTTTTTGTGGCTGTGAAGGCAGCTGTATCTGCTCTGTGATTCACCATCGCTTAGCAGCTTCCTGAACAGCTCTAAAACACAGTTCAGATGAGGTACTTGAGCAAACGCACTCGCATGCTCGCTCTGTGATTGACATCTGCATGTAAGCAGATGTTGAACACTGCTGGCTAACGCTGAGCAGCGGTCAAGTAAACATATTGCCAATACTATATCACTTTTACAGGTTTTTAATAAATCATAAATAATTCCCGAAAAGGGGGAAACTCCTGATTTCTGCTTTAAAGGATGAAATAACAAAGCAACAACTATGAAACTTAGACAACTGAGTGAGAAACAAACATACAGCAAACAAGCTGGCATACTTTGACAACAAACCCTGCTGATATGAGCACCGCTCTATAATCTATCCAGCTTCTTTTCATAGTGGGGCCATACTAAAGTCACACTGGTTGAGTTTAAGCAGTGATTTCCCTAAACGTCGTTGCCTGATCTCCAGCCCGTTCTGAGTGCCACACTGGCTAGTTTTCAGGACAAAATTGACAGATAAGACTCACTGTGTATTGTCAGACATGACAGCCTCACTCACTGAAACTCATTTCCTTCCACGCTGTCACTGCCGATCAAACTTATCATCAGCATGATGGATGGACTTATCAGCTAAAATTTACTTTGATCAAGTATCTGCTCCTTTCTGTCTGACCCCCTGACTCAGCCATTTTCTTCCTGTTTCTTTCCTCTTTCTCTTCATTTTTCCTAAAATCTGTCTTTTTACTAGGAAACTCCACTCTACAGGCTACTTCTTTTTTTTATTTTTTTTTATCATAGAGCATGATGTCTGAGAGCATGAGCCCTGAGCCATGTGCTTTAGAGTTGGTCTCTGTCTGTGTGCAACATTGATTCTGGCTTCAGTCAGTCAGATGGCCAAGTGGTGATTGATTGGAGCTGTGCAGAGTGACCTGAGACTAGGGGAGCATACACAGAGTTATTCTAGAAGATCAAACTGCACCATTTTTACAGAAGCCGTCACATGAGCTACGTTATACAAAGTGCTGTTCAGAAAAGACGCTTGGATTCTCGTAGGGTCATGCAGGAATGGTATGCAGTTAATTTGTTTTATCAAAGGCATATTCTAGTGGTGTATCATTCATTCTTATTGGGTAATTTCTAACAGTTGTGCCTATTGCAAAGGCCATGGATGGTAACACACCCATCTCACTTTATCTGTATGACTGTCCGTCTCATTTTCTGCCTTCCTAACAATTACCTCTCTCCTCTGCAACCAGCAGTGGCTTTACCTCCTTCAAAGCAGGCTTAAGCAGGACCAGAGAGAGTCAGTTACTCTGACAGAGGAGGAATCTGATATTGCATCTCCCATTCTGTCCACCTCATTCCAAACCTATATTGCATCCACTGAAGCTGCTTCCTTTTTTTGTTTGTGTTATTTACAGTTTCTGCAGATTTCCCAGTTACTTGCTTAGCTTCCCCTCACATGGAGTGTGTGACCCCTGACCTTGCAGCATATTGCATTCCCTAAGCTCCTTGTCCTTTGGTAAATCAATGACCTGTAAGGGACAGGAATGGGTAAGATGGACGTATGAATAATGATTTGACTCTATCCGTTTTCACTATGGGGTCTTAGTGTGAATTGGGCCAAAAACCAGTTTTCTTTAACTTTTAGTGGATCAGATCTGGTCGAACAAGAGTGAATAATAAGCTTAATGAAATTACTGCCAATTGATCTAAGCTACAGCTCTGGTATGGCATCTTTATGTACCTCGTAAAACTGATTGCCACCAAAATATCTACTGCATTGATTGCAAATTTAACTAGAGACAACTTAAGGATATTGTGTAAACAAATTGTAGGGGAAAAACACCCTCAGTTTGTGCTCAGGCAATTGATTTATCAACCCCTACTTGCTGAAGTAGTTATGAAGTTGCAGCACATGAAATGAAAAGCCTGCAGATGTTGTAATTTAGCCAAGCAAGGATGTTGCGGAAGGCGACAGTAAACAAGAGGCAGCAAGCTTGTAAAATCACAACAAGGAAACCAGGTGACATTTTGATTGGTTGTTTTCTAATGACTGGATTAATATGTAGAATGTGTTGCACTGGTTTAGATCTGATTCCTCCCTCCCTCCCTCTCTCTCTCTCTCTCTCTCTCTCTCTCTCTCTCTCTCTCTCTCTCTCTCTCTCTCTCTCTCCCTCTCTCTCTCCTCAAACACACACAGAGTAGTTTTGGTGTTGTGATGTGGTGCGACTGCATAATAACACGAGTAGTGTAATGTTTAAGGGGCCTTGTCAAACATCTGGAGTTTAACAGCTCTGTCGCAGGCAATTAAAGAACATCATGTCCCGTCTTTGATTTGTATGCAGCCGGTACCACACATCTGCTGTCAGAAAGCCGTCACTGAGACCGAACCAGAATTCAGACTCACGCTTTTTTGTGTGAAATTGCCTTTCAGGTTCACAAACCTCTTAGACTCCTGTGGAAAGGTGGACTTGGCCCTGTTGTCTCCTCCGAAGGAGGAGTACTGGTCCATGTTGGCTTACAACCGCGCCAAACTCTGCAACATCCTCTTCAGCAACGAGCTCCACCGGCGTCTATCTCCTCATGGGGTGACCTCCAACGCAGTGCATCCTGGGAACATGATGTACACCTCCATTCACAGGAGCTGGTGGTTGATGACCTTTCTCTTTACGCTGGCCAGGCCTTTCACCAAGTCTATGGTAAGGAAGCAAAAAGTGTCTAGTCACCGTGTGTCTGCACAAACAGCTCGGCCTCCACAAGGCACCACGTTGTATTAGTGTCTTTTTCCATTGACTCTTATGCAGCTCTTTTTTCCCAGCCCGTATTTGTTTTGGCACGTTCTCGGTAGCAAGAACAGGAAAAGCACGGAGAAGAGTTGATCTGCAGTGTCCCCAGGGTGATGCTCTGCTCTCATAGATAGAGCTGTTCTGTGCTTTGTTTTCCTCTTCCCTCTCTGACTGTTTATTTAACACAAAAAGACGATTCTCTCCTCTCAGAAAACACAGCAGACCCAGCAGATGACAACCGTTTACAGTAAATGCTCTGCAAAATCCATTTTTTCATTCTACAAAAGTAATTGTATCAAAAAAGTTCTAACCATATGCTAAATGCCCACCTGGAGAGCCAGTCTGATTACTTCTTCTGCAGACTTTTCTGAGAGCATAGATGCATTAATCACAGTACATCTTGAGATGCTATTTCAGAGACACTTAAAGACACAAAGTTAGTTGCCAGATACACTCTTTCTTCTTTTTTATGACATTACAACTTTAATTTAGAAGTAGCTGTAAAACTAGATCCCCTCAGAAAATTGACACTTTACCGGGATGGTTGCTGGAGTAACTGGACCCTTGTGCTTCTGGGAGCTTTGTTTTTTTGGGTCAAGAGCTCCTAGTAGGGTCATTATCTGCTGAAGGAAGGAGCTGCAACTGTTACCGGAGATACAGTTGTACACCGAAGCATTGCCTTCAGAATGAAACTTACAGCACAAGGGCTTATTTATTATTATTTTTTTTTGGTTTTTACTTTTGTGGAGAGTTGCCCAAAGAGATTATAGTTTTTCCACTTTTTGTGGGGGGAACTAAAAGGTCCCCTATAAAATATTGCTGTCAAGAAGACAAAGACTAGTGATGGCAAACAAAATGTGTGTGTGTGTGTGAGTGTATGTGTGTGTATACGTACAGGTACTTGTCAGCAAAACATCAGAAGCACCACTATATGGATTTTAGACACAATGTGTTATTTTTATTGTTGACTTCTGGAAATATCCATCAAAATGTTGTTGAAAAGAATTAAATGATGCCCAGTTTTTGAAAAATATTGGCAGCTTCATAACATAACCCCCCCCCCACCCCCCCACACACACACACACACAAAAAATCAGGCCTAAAATACATGGGAGCTGGTCTAAGTCTCTGGGAAACGCCTTATTAGATGCCATGTTTTCTTCTACAGGAGCCCATGAATACGTTTACTGATTTGTAACGAATGGTTACAAAACTTTCACCATTCATGAATGTTGTTGTTTTACACATTTACCTCTTCACTCGTTGCCAGTGATGAAATGAAGTTTGATGTGCTTGTCATTTTGCTGAAGTTTGCACTCCCGAGGGCTTTTTGACCCTAATGGGCATCCGTTGGTAAGGTAGTACTCCAACACAAAAATACTACTTACTTGCAATGATTTAGGTATCTACTGCGCCCGATTGCCAGTAAAAATACACACTGTTCCTTTAAAGGGGAACTAGGCAGTTTTGACTTGCTTTTAGCACCCCCTAGAGTCCATTTGTAGAACCAAAAGCAAAACTTATCTCTTTGCTGTGCGTTCATCTTTTTAACACCATGATCTAACAGCTGAAATGTCTCACCAGCCTTCGTTAGTCTGTACAAGAGTGATTCATCACTAAATCAAACAAATCAGCTGTGTTCATAATCTAAAACATGCAGGAAACGCGCTGGTAGCATACTCCAGTGCTAGGTATGTCAGCTCCACTTGACGGGCACGATGAAGCAGCAAGTGTGGTTTTCTGGCCACAGAGGGCAGTTGGGTCTCAGTGACATTTTATTAACTATGTAAAGGATCATTTTAGCACATACTGGCTCAAGAAAATGATTTAAAAATATGAAAAAGTTGCCTAGCCTTTAAGGAACGCCAGGCCTTTAATTCTGGATTTTATCGAATTAGCCTAACGGTTGCATGTTTGGTATAAAAGCAATGCACGTTGCTGAAAACTTGCATTAGATCTCTGGAAAAAAAGTTGTGTCCAAATATAGTCACAAATTTTAGAGTTAACATGGCAGACATGTTTTTATTTATTTACCTTTTTACAGTTTCCACTACCATCTGAGCTAGCGTGAAGTGATGTAAGGTGCCCTAAATAAACATCCACATTAACTGTTGATTTTAAGTCCCACTTCCGCATATTTGTCCAGAATCCTGTCAACGGAATGTACATCGTCTTGGAGTTTATGTTTGTTTTCGTCAAATAAAGTCATCAAATCAAGATCCAGCCCAAACCTTTATCCTAGTGAGCGTTGTACTCTAGGGTTTTCCAGTGGATAGCAGCACTCTACCCTTGAGGCTTCACAGCCCTCCGATCTATTCTTTAGTTTGACAATTACATCTTTCCATTAGCTGTTCTTCATACTTTATCAGTTTGGTGTTTGCACTGAAGTGAAAATGTGATGTGTTGAAAGGCAGCGCAGTGGAGTTTTAGCGAAGCGTTGTTCTGATCCATCATGTTTGACAGACACAAGGCCTCGGGCCGTCATTTGTCTTTCCGCCTTTTGACATTGAATGAGAGATGAGAGGAACCGCTCCTCAGCACAAAATGCCAAGCTGATCGTTTCTTTGACTATTTTTGTCAGAAAACTCCCCCCTTTCCCTCATCCAGCCTCAGCGAAACACTTTCTCAACTCTTTCTATCATTTTTATATCTTTAAATCCATCCAGTGTGAATTTTAATGGGTCTAAAATTTCTTCAGTGTGCTACATGATGTGGTAGTAGACCATGTGACTTCTATGTTTTAGTGAGTCTAAGAAAAGGGTGTTAACATCTTGAAATTGTGCACACAGACACAATTAGCTGAGCCTTTTCTCCTCCAGAGTGCGGCGATGCTTTTCTACATCTCGTTAATTAAACGTAGTGTCGATGTTGGTAAATATTAAAGGACAAAAGTAGAGCTAGTAATTAAATGCTGGTGTGCTGACACAGCGATTAGCTAAAATTCATGTCTGATAAAGGCCACACACAGACTCACGCACACCGATACACCGGCACACCCTTAAGCTGAACATTTGCTCTTATTTAAATATGGGGTTGATAAGGCCCCTGAAAGTGTATCCTCTTTAAAATCCCACTCCTCGCTGCTTCTGCCCCCACATTAAGGGCTTAATAAAACAGTGATATTATTTCAGTTATTGGTTGCAGGGATATGAAGATGCTATCGCTTTAATTGCTTGCGTACGCTTGCGGGATCCGTGGAGATTGTTCGGGGATGCAAACATAAGCAGAATGTCGACTCCAAAAAACAATCACGAGGCCCCCATGTGTGTTCTTGCACAAATAACCAGGCTTTCATTTAAAACACAGGTTTGATTTATAGGAGCACAGGTGGAGTGATGCATACTGCTTCTCTGCACAGACACACATGAAGAAAGACACCTGGAGTGACTTTAATTCTGTTATTTGATGGATTTGTTTTTTTTTTCTTTATTAATCGTTTCATTCTATTGTTGACTTTCACGTTTCCGTTTTAGTTTTCTGAGTCATTATTTTAGGTCCAACTGCAACCACAAAGTATTTAGACTTGTGAAATTTTCTATTATTTGTGTTCTGTTTTCTTCTTCAGAGACACTTCTTTATTAGCAAGAAGCGCAGCCCACATTTCCACTGATGTACCGAGCTGATTTCATTTTGCTGAGTTGAAAAAGACATTTATAAAGAGGCATGACATCTTTAATCAGCCAAACTATCTCTCACTAAGATCATGTTCCCCTCCCTGTGCCTTGATCTACTTATCAGAGATTGTACAATCAGGCCTCTAACTCCTGTTTCTTTTTTTTATTTTTAATTCAGCATGTTTGGAGTGGGAGTTTTCCTTCTGTCCTTTGGTGTGACTATCTGTGTTCAAGGATCTGGCCTGCAGTTGAGTGTGTGAATGGATGAAAGATTTAAGAGAATAAGAAAGAGGGTAAAAAGGGAATTAGCTTAGCAGTTTTGCGGCTGCAGATTTAAAAAATCTGATCGTTGCAGGTCTTGGATTCTTGTGGAATTTTGAACTCTTTAAAATTGTGAATGTGGTGCTCACTTTGAACCGGGAGTCTGGCCTCACATTTAAACAACACATGATGAATTTCAGTGACTGTTGCAGTTATTAGTTGGGCTATAACCTTTATGAAGTTGTCACCAGGCTGTCGTGCCGGATCGCTGACCCTGTGACATTTTGTTGACTGACTGATTGCTCCCTCAAGATCCGCGTACCCTCAGGCTCCGAGCAGCTGGCTTCAGCCTACGCTCATCAAATCTATGCTTTAACTATACGCACAGATAATGCTGAGCAGCACGGAGATCTGTGTGGGCGGTGGCTTCGGTAGCTCATCACACTCTATAATGGATAAGGAGAGCCGGGAGGTGTCGTGGGCACACACCTAAGAGGTCCAATGCGACACCAACGTTCCCCGATGGGCTGGTTTCATCACCTCTTTCGCCTTGTCGTGTGTTTTCTGGTGTTCTAACGTGATTATTTCACCCAGGATCCTGCCTCGGGCACCCAGCCACCTTTTTACATATGCACAGGCTGAACTTTTGACCAGCAGACAGGGCTGCTTTGGAGAAATGGTGGTTCACGCTGGAGATGTGGGGCTTACCAGTGCTTCCTCCCATTGTGATCAGGTGCTCAGCCCTGCACCTGAGGGGTTAAACCCAGGGAAAGCTCCTGCAAGTGAGACATCAGCATTACCATACTGTATGACAGACGTTCAGAGAGGCACAGCAGCCACTGGTACCTCAGGTTGTCTCCTGCAGACAGACATAAGGTCAGATGCTCTGTCTTCTGTCTGGTGTTATCCACAGATGCAGAAGCTTTACCTCACACCTAGGCATTCTCTCTCTCTCTCTCTCTCTCTCTCTCTCCCTCTCCCCGTATATATGTGTGTGTGCACTCTGCTCAGCCATGTGGAAACAAAGAGGAGCAGAGG